GCATGAAAAGAGATGCATGAATGGGTCCATTGTTGTGGTGAAGCTGCCAATCACCAGTTGCCCAGAGCTGTGGCCTTCTGAATTATCTGGAGAATTTTCACGGAGGAATGTTCAAGCTGAACACCAAATTTGATGCAGATTCATTGCTCTACTTGCTCAGTCATCTTGAACGTGAGGATACACGGTACACATGCTCACTCAAGGGCATCCACTGCCCCCACTGACTAGTACAGTGAAGTTGTCATTGTTCACATATCCACATTCCAATGCACTCTCCTTGGCTGCTAGGTTTCATCGATGTTGCACAAACTGTTCTTGTTATGTTAACAATGGTTTCACTTTTTTTGGAGAGACTTCATATGTACATATACAAATGCTGTAAAACATATATATATTTCTTTCAATTAATTTCACTGTGAAATGTTTTTTATCTTTTGCATTTTCAATTTCCTGATGTGTTTATTTTTCTTTGCTCACTGTCATCATCTTTAACTCACCATTTTCAAGAATAAGGAATTTTCCCCAACAGCTTATAATATAAGCTAGTAAATTTGTTTGTTAAATGGATAAGTAAGTCAGAATTCAAACATGTATACTTTAACATTCAATATGGTGCTTTCTAAGGTACCACCCACAATATTTCAGTTACAGATTTCTGGAACTATTTGAGCTCTTTAACAGTGTTGAAGTAAATACATTCATAGTAAAATAAAATTTGCCTGTAGTAAAATAAAAAGTTCATTTTTTCCAAAATTCCTGACTTTATGATGTCAAATGACTTTATAATACCATATAGATCTATTTAAAGTCTATTTTAAGAGAAATTTGTAGTTTATTTTTTTATGTCAATTCCTATATGCTTATATTTCCTTTGACAGAAGAGTTGTATAGCTGCCATTGATTTTATGTTAACCTTTTCCCAGTTCATACTCTTTTCTTATTTTGCCTTCTACACCTAGCTATTCACCCACATATCCTTCCCTATGTGGTGAGACACACAGGAAGTGAGTTTCTCCCTTCATTCCATGCTAATGCTCAATAATGAGCTGAGTCTAACAAGAAATAAGTATCATTTATCTGTCGCTACAAAACAATAGATGCCTGATCACTTGTACTACATAATATTATACTGGAGGTCTTAGCAAGGACAGTAAGTAAAAGACTGGAAAGAAAGGAAATTCTTACAATTTCTAGACATGCATTACATGTGAAAGATTCAGACAAATATATAGGAAAATGATCAGAATTACTAAGTGAATATAACAATATCATTACATAAAAAGTTAATAAAAATAATTATTAACAACAAATATTATTATTAAAAACAAATATTAGCAACAAAAAATATAAGATTTTTAAATAATTATAATTTACAACATAAAATACTTATTAAATTTAATGATATGTTGAAGCTCTGTACTGAAAACTATAAAAGTTTATTGTATTAGTTCATTATTCTGCCATAATAAATTACTATAAATTTAGGGACTTAAAAACACAAATTTATTATATTACAGTTCTTAAAGTCAGAAATCTGATATGGGTCTCACCAAACTTAAACCACTGTGTAAGTAGACTTTATTTCTTTCTTGAAGTCTCTAAGGGAAACTCTGTTTCTTGCTCATTTGGGTTGTTGGCAAAATTTAGTTCTTTGTGGTTGTAACACTGATGGATCCATTTTCTTTCAGCTTATAAATTTAGAACTGTTGCTAAATTTTTGAGGCTGCTACATTTATTATTTTTTAGAATTCTCACTGGAGGTTACATTTATTGATTTTAGTGAGAGGGGAAGGTGGAGAGAGAGAGAGAGAGAGAGAGAGAGAAGGAGAGAGAGACACACATTTGTGTGAGGAAAAAAAAAAAAGTTGCCTTGCATACACACTGTAACCGGGGATCAGACCCACAACCTAGGCATATGTCCTGATCAGGAATCCAATCCACAAACTTTTGGGGGTACAGAATGATGCTCCAGCCAACTGAACCATCAAGCCAGGGCAAATTTTTAAAAAATTAATGGGCGAAAGAAGGAGCAGAGGCAAGCAAAGGAACCGAAATACAGGATTCACAGGCATGGACACGGGGGGATTGACTGTGGGAGTCGAGGGGATGGGGTAGGGGTGAGCAATAAAGAAAGAAGTAGGACAACTGTAACTGAGTAACAATAAACAAATAATAATTTAGATTTGACCTCTTTCACATTTTTAAGCTGTTTTTCAAGAAATTAATGGTCATTGCACTTGAAGCTTAGTTATGTCATATCCCTGACCATGACTGCTTTCCAGACTCTAGTATTTGAGTGAGAGAGAAAAGAAAGGCTTGTAAATCACTCCTAATAATAGCACATCATTGAGGATTTCAACAAAAGATTTTCTGGGTGACCACTCAGCACTTTTTTAGGTCTGAATGATTTATATTTTTACTGGCATGATGTGTTAAATATGGAGTAAGCACATAAATGACCCATTCATTGTCCTTGCAATATTTGATAAAGGGAAAAATTGTCATATTTTTGTACTTTGAGTATTAACTGTTTTAAATTGGGAGAACCTTCATCCCAGAGGCTTCATGGTGTGAGAGAGAGAGAGAGAGTGTGTGTGTGTGTGTGTGTGTGTGTGTGTGTGAACACATGTGTGACTGTGGCTTTCTGGAGGAAACTGGTCTTGCAGATCAAGAGCTGAAGTCAACTCCTTGATTGTTGCCATGTGTCTTTTTATAGTTGTGGTATTCTGTAGCCTGCCTATGCCCAGAATTTGCTGTTGGGGATAATCTTAGCAATATATTTGGGCACCTAAATTTAATGCTAACTCCACGATTCTGAAAAGTCACTTTGGGTTCATCTGGACTGAAACACAATGGCATAGTTCTTTTCTGGTCCAAATGACTAGGCTGCAAATTTAGATGTTCCAGTGTTATCCTGGAGAAGACATTCTTGATCAGTGTTAGACCATGGAGCACTTGGAGGATTGGAAGAAATTATGAACTTTGCCCTATTTAAACTTGCATACTCAAATTCACATTAAGTTTGCCATGGAATTTTAAGATTTTAAAAAATCACTGAGGCATATCCACAGACTCTTCTCAAGTTAAGAGATACAGTTGCATTCAATTGGCTTTATTGTACAAGAATGAAAGAATTAAATGTTGCATAAAAGTACAATATAAGGGAAGAAGATGGAGCCGAATCTGTGAAAATCGCATTTCTCTCTTGACTGAAGGCAGACACGTGGTGAAAGGAGAGCTTGATTTGGTTTCAGCAAGATCTATAAAAAATGACAGTTTAGGAACTTTAGTTCACTATCTGTTAATAGTTTTCATGATATATGGATTTTATTTAGATTTCATGACTTGTATCTTTATACACAAGGAGTTTATCAAATTAAATACTTAAGTTTAAATATTTAAACTTGGCATATAGTGGACTGAAAATAATTTTCACCTAATAAATATTTACATAAAGACACTGGTCTTTACATGTTTACTTTGTGATATTTTAGAATGGTTTTAACTTAGAAATCTACATTTGTGGGTTTTGAACAAACATAACTATAGAAATAATGATTATTCCATTAAAGTCATAATCATATAATAATATATATTAGATCAATAAAATATATAAGAACATACTAAATTACTTGCTTTCATATTGTCTCCATTAATTTTCTCATTTTGTTTTCTAAATTTTAATACATCAAAAATTTATCCAGTTATCTTTTTTCCTACTAGATGTTTTATTAAATATCAATTAAATAATACAATGTATAAAATATGCTGACTTAAGTAAGCAAATAGTGTTTTCTGTTGCTATTTTCTTCAAATTACACAGCCTATATGGAAATAGATGCATAGTAATTAAGCCTTACTATCTAAAATCAGTAAGAATGTGAGATATTGGCTATAAGTAAATCTTAATATTTATTAATTTTACTTTTTCTTTTCTAATACATGACATTTTACAGGTTGATCAATTTTTACAATTATTTTACAATACGTAGTCTCACTTAAATCTCATAATAACCAAAATTCTGAGAAAATCAAATTTTAGAGGGACCAATGACTTGCCTAAGGTCACACAAATGTAAGAAATATTTTTCTCTTATCTAACTCTGTTACCATTATATCACATAACAGTATTGAATTTTAGATCACACAACATGTAGATAGAGTGTAATGCACTGAAAATATTTGTTGCAAAGACTGAAATTTTGTAACTTCCTCCCCAAATTATTTCATACTGTTTGGTCTTTTTCTGCTTTATTAATCATTCTCTTTATTTTAACTTCTTCCCATAAGTTTCAAGTTATTTTAGACTTTGCCATTATTCATTGACTCAAATGATAGAGACATTTTGCATCACATTTAAGATTCTGGAAGTATCTTTTTAATATGTATATGCTTTTCAAGTTAAGAATTACATTTCTTCCATAAGTTTATCTTAAAATAAAAGAATTTTGTGGTGCTTAACAGCATCAATTCTTTCATAAATCATATCTGAAATTAAGGAATGTATGGGAAACATATTTCCTTTCACTTTATTCATATGGAAATTAGAGTGCAAGAATATTATTAAATGGTTAATATGTATTTAAACTCATATCCTGCATAAATTTTTTAAGGTAATTTATTTTTGAAATAAGGAAAATCATGAGTTCAACATAAATTGTACTCTATTATATGTGAATAGTAGTAAGATAAAAACAATAGAATCTAGGAGTGTTCCAACTGTCAAAAAAGTCTGGTAATAAAATATTTAAGTTTTCTTCATTTTGTAAAATAAGATCATTTTTCATTTTATGTTGGAACAGAATCTAGTGTATCAATGCTATGACACTATCAAATTAAAATTATAATCAACCCATTTTTCCTGTTCTCATAACAGACTTAATTTATCTATTTATACTATTTAGATGTTATAGTTGTGTCGATAAATCCATAAATTTTGTCTTTATTTTTTTTCTTTTGCTCATTTACCTGTGTTGTCTTCTTTGAGGCTTCCATAATTTTCAGACCACGGGTGAAGTAAGTGTGACTGTGGTAGCCTCAGGTGTGCTTGTGATGAATTCTGAGGAAGCTTCTGGAATCACTACAGTTGTTCGTTCAGTGGCAGGAGTAGGTGTAGGTTCAACAGCAGCAATGGTGTTGGTGTTAGGAATGACCGTTTTATCCTGAGTTTTCTTTGGGGGAATGGCAATAAGTCGTGGATGTAGGTAGGGGTGCCGGACCACAGCAGGTGGGTAGACATTTGGCAGGACTTGCCATTGAGGAATTTGGGCATGTGGTCTAACTGACACTTGTTTTGCATAATATGGCTGAGGCATATATTGGTTATTAATTGGTACAGCTGGTCTATATTGGTAGTAATTGAGCTCAGAGTGAGGAGAGCTCTTCAGAACATAAATAATTGGAACATATTTGACTGTCTTTTGATCAAACAATCTTTTGTCATTCTCACAACCCTGCAAAGAATAAATTAGCAGAATTATATTACTGTAGGGTAGAATGTAGAGATATCTTAAATCAGATTTTTTTTGAAGTAGTGTTGTAGTATTTAATGTTGAATAAGTACAATAGTAAAAGTAGTGAACCCAGCAACCATATTATTTTACAAGATATGATTTGTACACATTTCTTCCACTTAATTTTTGACAAATATTAAAAATAATATAAGTTTCAAACAAATTAGATGAGTTAATCCATAACACAAACCACATTGGCAAGAGTTTGGTATATATGAAGAGTGCTCAGTAAATGTTGAACATTATGATAAGTACAACAGCTAGAAAAATCTAGAGAGCTTTGATATGCTATACACAAACATACCACTCAGAGAGAAATATATTTTTATATAGGTATGTGTATGTATTTATGTAGTCTTACCACATATTTATAATTGTTTAAAATTTTATTTATTTAGAGATTAAGCTGAGGGGACATTTGTTTTTTTTTCCCCTAAACTAATTATAGCAGAGTAGTACAATAATATGATTTGGGAGGATTCCTGGATTTATACTTTAAATTTTTTTCAGCTTACTTTTATCCATTAAACATCATTTAGGGAATTTCCTATTTTTATTGGTTTCTGTTTTACTGATTATGTGTAGTTACCAAATATGTCTTTAGGTTTTTCCATATAAATGGAAAGAAATCAATAAAGTTACACTGCAAGCAAGCATTTCTCATAAAGAGAAACATTTAAATATATTCATTTAAACATATTTGGGAAACAAAAGGAGGAAGTAAATTCAAGTACAGGAAAATATTCAGTTGTGCTGAGAGCAGAATATTTCCCAAAGCCTTAAAAATTAGGCTGGAAAGACATTAAATTCTGCTTTTGTTTTCATTTCTTTCTCAATATTAAATTCTGAGACAATTTTCTCACATTGCTCAGTATACGTGAAAATGAAAACCCTATATGACTTAGGCTATAAAACGAAATCAAGATTTACAGATCAACATTGAGTCCAATTCATATGATGGTTTGCTGGAATTTTTACAATAATCACTAGATTATTTATGGAGTTTAAATATTTATTTAGTTTTTAGACAAAGACATTTTAATATTACTGAACTTTGCAGAAAATTATACCTGGAAGTCCATGTCTCAATCAGAAATAAAGTAAACTTACTGTTAGTTGTTCCTGGTTTTGCACCTCTGCGCCCTGGTGAGATTCAAAAAAATAATAAGAAATAAGAAGTTTTTTAAAAAAGGCAGGGTCTAGATTTTTTGTGCTTTTAAAAACTTTTATAATGAAGACAAAACATGATTTCTTTTTTATTATGGTATTGTAAAGTATTGTAAAACATTTTCAATGGTTATTTAATCTATAAGGTCTGTGAACCACTCAAAAAGTAACAGCAATTTACTAATTAAAATAATAATAATGAACCTCATGGTTAAATGGTTTTCAAAAATCCCATTGCCTAGGGAGAAATATTCAAAGTTGAAAATAATATGATGAACTGACTTTTGTGCCCACAAATTTACTTGATATTTCTTTAAGTGAAAAATATGAAAAACATACAAGGGGGAACCCCATAAAACCCAGAACTTATTTATAAAGAATTATGTATTTATTCTTACATGTTTAAACTTCCGTAACCTTCAAAAGTACTTTCCATTTGATGCAATATACCTATCGAGGTATTTTTTCCACTGCCCCAAATAGTTATTGAACTCCTCAATTTTGATGCCTTTTAGTGCTTCTGCCATATTTTCTTTCACCAATTTCACATTGGCAAAACATTTCCCTCTGAGGGCTTTTTTTAATTCAGGAAGCATTGGGTGCAAGATTGGGTAAATAGAAAGGATGGCGCATGGGGGTCATGCTGTCTTTTTGTCAAAAACTGCTGAACACTCAGCACAATGTGAGCTGGTGTGTTCGTAAATCACTCATCATGAAGTGGGCTAATGTATTGAAAGAGTCTTAAAAAAAAAATTCACTGCAGCAGAATGCAGCTTCTTACAACGAGAACCCATCTGTATACTGATGCAGAAGGGCTCCTAGAACACTCACCTAGTGGGGGAAGGCTGTATTACAAGAGGCCTGCCCTCCCGAAGATAATTCCAGCATTTTGGGTCTTTCTCCTCTTTTGTTTGGTTTGTATTAAATGTATATTTTTAAAAATAAGAAGAGCATTGAACGTCTTTTCTTTTTCTGTTCTCCAAAGATGATTTATGAGATTTATATAGATTTAAAACAATTGCCTCTAGTATAGCATCAATATATAAATGTTATACACATACTAGTGTTGTTTAAATCAAGTTTTATTTGTTTTTATGGTACTTTTCTTAACCTGTTTTTCAATGTGCGTAGAAAGCCAAGAGTGAGAAAACAATATCCATAGATGCTTATATGAGTACATACACACCTTTAAAAACTCACAAGGTTTTTATAAACTTTTGAGATTAGATCATGATGTTAAATTTTTGAAAAAATGATAGTTCTAGTTTAGAATTTGTCCCACATATCCCTTGGATTAAAAAAAAAGACTCTAGAAAACTTTTGAAAGTTGCAGGTGTAGAAAATTAGAAATTTGATAAAAATAACAAAAATCAGGTTGTATTGAGACAGAGATTTGTTTTCCTTTAAATGTTTAAACTTACTAGTTTAAAGTTTAAATAGTAATATAAATATTACAGAAATTTCTACACTTAGAAGTTCTGATCATCTAAACATCTTAATATAATATCAATCTATATCATGTATTTCTGGTATGTGTTTATTTAGTATCTTTTTTGAAGAAGTAAAATCTCATAGTATTTTTCTATATTTATCATAGTTTTCATACATATTTATAGTTGAAAAAAATAAATGATCAATGATTATGTCATGAACTGTTTATTTTTTACTCTTGTTAATCATTAGTCTTCTTTCAATAAATGTTTTATTATAAATAGATAAATTACATTTGTGTACCAGTGGCCTTTTTAAATAGTTCTTATTAATTCCTTAAGATAGTTTTTAAAAAATGTGACTTTGGGTTGAGGGTTGGGAACAAAAATTCTTCTATAGGAATTATTAAATTGTTGTACAGACATGCATCAACTTGTAATGCCACCCATAGAACATGAAATTGTACAGTTCGTCATAATTGCTAGTATAAATATTATTTGAACTATTTTTATTTTGGAAAGAACTTCATGAGCACATAAAAGATGCCATCACATTGCTATTTTAATTTGTGTTGACTTGACAACTCATAAGATCGAATGATAGAATTTGTAGATTTTTCATTCTCCTTTTGAGTTATTTGGTATAGTCCATCGGGCTTGAAACTTTTGTGAAAATGTGAGTGTCCGGAAGTTAGAGCAAGCTCCAGTAGCTCAAGAAGAGGTTGCTATATGGCAGGTAGATATGGATCTTTTCTTAATTTAAACTTTAACTTCTATCACTTAAGAAGAAAAACAAAGTTCTAAATGTGCAGGTGGCCACAATAAAATGAAATTTCAAAGAATAAATGGAAGAAAATAAATATGAATCATAATAATTCAAATTTTAAAAAAATTTGACTCCAAGAATTTATCTAATAGAGTTTAAGCTATAGGAACTTAAAAGCTAGTCTAAATTTAATAATTAATGAATGATGCAACAAAGACTAGTGCCCTCCCAAATTTTATAATCTGAGAAACGACCATATTACATCATCTCATGTTTATCTATTCTTGCTGTTGGCAAATAACTGCCTGAAATCTCTAAATGAGCATGAAAATAAAAAAGAGCAATGGTCAAAACAACAATAAAAATTAGTCAAAATATTTTAAAAAACTGTCTCTTGGTCTAATAGCTTTAATACACAATACATAATTCAAGAAAAAGACCGAAAACCATAAGGTTGCTTATGTATATGATCCCTGGGAAGAAATCAGTTAGTTGACATAATAGGAAAAGTATTACAAAAGATCCCATAATGTTTCAATGTTAAGGGTAAATGTGTCAAGATCTTTGAAACTGGTGGGAAAGCTTGAATAAGCTTCTAATCTTTTAAAGATTTGTTGCCTGAAGAGATTGGAGTCTGTAGAAGATAAGAATTTGATTTTGAAGTTTGAGATCCTGGACTGTGATTTCTTTATAGATTTTTTTAGAGTATTTTATAGTTAAAAATAATTTTTAGCATTGTTTTTCCCCTTAGAATGTATTTTCTCTATAGCATTAAGATTTTAAAGATTTTCTATACATGATAATGATTTCTTAATTCTTGGGAACTAAAAGGATAGTCAGAAGTACATTACTTTAATTTTATAACAGAAAAAAATATAAATTAATTTTAAGAAAATATATCTTGTATGCCATTATTTTATTCTATTAAGTATAACTGCATTGAGAAATTTACATAATTAGAGCCATTAAATAAAATTTCTTAAAGTATTAAGGTAAATTGATTAGATGAAATTAACTTACCAAAAATGGCAGAATTAATGCCAGGATATTCACAACTAGAAAAAAACTCTTCATAATTGCACCTAAAGATAGAAATTAAAAGCATTAAATTAAAAGGATTTCTTATTCATAATTTAGGAATGACTTAAAACAGTGTTTTTTAAGGAAATAAAAACAGATTGATGAATAGGTTTAGCCAATATGGAATTGTATTTTATCAAAAGCTCTAGGACAACCAAACTTGGAGTATAAAATTTATGATTTTAATTTTTGGCTATATTACTGAAAGTATCATTACAAGGTTAATCATCTATTTATTTCCTTACCATATATCAAGAACCTACTAGGAAAAAGGCAATGTGTCAATAGTTGAGTTTATCAGGATGATTTGGTCTTGTTAACAGGTAGTATCAATTTTAGGAGGAGAATTGCACTACACACAAATTACTGTAAGAGGTAAGAAAGTAAAAATGCCACAAAAGTGGTTTACTACAGATAAGTTTCCCATTAAGAAATCAATAAATTATGTGTTTAGGAGATAGTATTTGTTTAGGTGAGGTTGCCCATGTAGATATTAATATAATGAGGACAGAAATTTTTCAAGGAGAAAAGAAAGCCTTGGGAATATCCATGGACATTATGAATAAAGTGTTTTATGAGAAGAGAAAGATAAAGTTGGGAAGAAAGTTTAGGGCAGAAAAGGGACAGTCCCTATTTGCCAGGTTAGAGTTAGGCATGGCTTTATTAACAACAGAAACCAGGTGAGTGGTTTTGAATTAGAGAATGATGTGACTATACATTCTTTTGGAGGACTGAGTCTTAACTGAGTCTCTATCCCTACTTGTGTAACTTTGGCAAGTAATTTCCCTTGCCTGGGCCCTATCTTCCTTGCTTATAAAATGAAGGTTTAAACTAAATGATTTCTAAAATTCTATAATTCATGACTGATAAAACAGGAATATGTAAAGGGGAGGGAGGGTATTGTGAAATCACGTTTTTAGTAATTTTCTTTTCCAGTAATCATAAATGATATGATTAACTTTATTGTTTCAATGAGAAATATAGATATGACAATTGTGGCTTTGACTGAAATATTAAAAGAAATAAATTAGTCTTACCTTTTTAAACAAGTATTAGATTGTCACACCTGCCTATATGATTTTTTAAAATAAATTGTCTTTTCAGAAAGATACATATAATACTTCAAACTTTTAATATTTAAGTGCATATTATATTTGTGAAGGAAATACTAACTATATTTAGCTGTATTTTTTGCGGCTATCGATATGCTATAGTAGTACAGACTTGCATCCTATGAACTGTTACAAAGGAGGGTCACAGAGTTAAAGTCCAGGCTAGGGAAAGAGGAACACATCAGTCTGCATTGTCTCAGATTCTCAAGTAAAAAATGAGTAGGAAGGCTGTCTACCAACCTGACTTCAGAACTGCTGATAAGATATCATTGAATGGAAAAGAATTCATGTGGAATTAAACTTGAACAACCTATATCAAACTCAAGTTTCACTGAGAGGGGTGGAGTTCCTTATTAATTCCTCATTTGCCAGTTAACTTTTTTTATTAAAATATATTGATATATAACACTGTAAATTTAAGCTGTACAATACATTGATTTGACATATAATTGGCATAGTAGTAATTAGCACCTTTATCACATCATATCATTATAATTTTTATGGTTGGAATAATTAAGATCTAATATCTTAGCAAGTTTGATGACTTTAATATAGTAAATATAGATAGCAATATTGTATTATAAGCTCCAGTTAACTTTTAAGATTATAGACTAAACTATAACATTTCCATGAGCTACAGACTCCTTTTCAATTCATACGAAATTATGTAATGCACACAAACATTCTGTAAAATGATAGTGATTCCTCACTTTTTAGCATAAACAGAAATCAGAGAGATAAGATCACATTTAAGTTATCACCTAGTTAAACCTATGAGTATTTAAATTTGCCTTATCGTGAAACAGTAGAATTATTCAGTTTTTATGAGGATATGAAAGGTATGTTTTAGTAAATGTGCTGCCGAAGTGAGCACAGGTATGTTTTAAAATGATAGTTAAAACAAATAAAATTATGATACTTGGATAGAAATAAAACTTGAAATTAATTAAAGGATCCATGTGGATTATTATAACACACGCATCTTCCTGACAAGTTAGTCCTCTATATTTGTCTGTAGAGATAGGTTCATCGTCTTGAGCACCTTTTTTTTTTTTTAGAATTTACATCATCTTCAGTAGGTTAGCTAGTGTCAAACCTTGACTTTAACCCAAAGTAAAATTAAAAATAAATTTGATATTAATACCATAAAAATTTAAGATTTAGGTTAGAAACTAATGTCAAAATAATGTCAATATGTATTCAAGCTTAACAATTTAAAGCTCAAAAAAAGAAAATGTACTTCTAAAATAACTTTGGTGTTGTTATCACAAACTAGTGTGAAAACGAATCATTCTCTCTTGATGTTTCAATATAATTACCTTTCCTTGTGTCTGTTGGGTCTTGCTTGGCAGTAGGTTGAGTTGACCTCCTAACTGTAGAGAAGACTCAAGGTAAATAACTGAAGACCAATTAAAGGGCATTACTGTCTTGCATCATGCAATTTATTTTCCTCCTATGTTTTTTTTACCCAAAAGGAAGATGACAAAAAGGAAAGATTTGATGACAGCAGGGTTATCTTTGGGTCAATCTTAGTTAATGAAATGGAGAGGGGGAAAATAGAGTTGCTATTCATAAAGGTTGAAAAGAGACTATTAATACTTTTTAAAGAATTTTTATTTTTTATAAAGAGATATATAAGCATTTTAAAAAATATTAATTGCATTCTTAATCAACTAATCCCATCTGTTTGAATTTAAAACTATTGTTAAAATGAAAAACAGCTAGCCACAACAGTTTCATATTTTAAATGTTTCTTTTTAGTTTAAAAATCTGTATATCAGGCAACCCTGCATATATTATGAGCTGTAGTTGGGCTTTTTCCTTCCAGAATTACAACTATTATATTTAAATACTAGAAAAGTTACCATCTCTTACACATCCAAATGCAATTTCTTACAAGGTAAATCCAAAGTATTTTATATTAAATACTTTAGTATAAAGTAGGAACTCACTTGCATTTGAGCTGTGACATATATTTTTAAATTCATGGTATAAGCATTCAATAAATAAGCAATCAATGTGTTGATTATCAATCTTTTATGAATCAAAGTTGTTTTCAGATTTTTAAATTTTAATAGCATAGATGAATCATTTTGGATGTATAAAATTAAATTATTGAAATGGGGATAATTTTTCCATTTCAAGGACAGGCATTTCTGTCTTACATAGTATACATCATAAAACCACCAATATGGGAGATATTTTTGTAAAATACAACTTATTAAGCAATTTGCCTAGATAACTTAGAAAAGAATATTTTTTGCTTGCATTTCTCTTGGAAAAATATTAACTGTGCCTTGAATTTAGCTGTGAAGTCCTGGGTAATTGGTGTATTTACAGGAATCAATGTAGGACTGCCAGTACAAATAAGAAATAATATTAGCATTGTGGTTGTTTCTACATTCCTGTCTTTTTCTCAGAAATATTTCATGTCTTAGCAAGTTAGGAACAATGTTCAGAACCCTAGAATGTTTACCCAGTTTGTACAGATTTTCTATTTCTCAGAATAGTTGGTTTCTACTGTTCAGAGAAAGCTGTTAGCGTAATAAGATGGGCCATTCTATTCGGACTGTTTAGTCACACCCTTTTCCTGTGGTTGTGATGGTCAAATGATAGTTGGAAGGTTATGGTCTGGTCAATTTCCAAATTATGATAGTGTTCTATTCTACATGGTAATTTCTCAATCATTGATGTAGAGCTGTAGAATGAAATTGTTGTCAGTTGAATCTTCATTTTATTTACAATTACCATAGACACAGAACATCTTTTAAGACATTGTTTTAAAGGAAAATATATTTTACCTGGGAATGCTAGGAAACTTTCCCTTTACCAAAAGAAAACCATTTTTATAGTAGGATCACCCATTTACTTTAAACAGAAACCTGGCTCTCTTGGGTACTTTGCAGGGCTGGGAATTATTTTTTGTGCGCTTAAATTATTTTAGGTATTGTTCCAGGCATCAGGGATAAATTAATAACTAAACCAGGCAAAGATCCTGGCCCTGTGAAACTCAAGTCTAATTTGTTTGATTACTAGTGACATTGAGCTTAGGTATGTTCTAAGAGAGCAAAAGCATTTTGAGTGACAGCTGTTGAGCTAGGTGAATTCTGTGTTGGAGCTATTTAGATACCCTGCTGTTTTCCAAAGAAAAACAACAGTGAAATCAAAAGTCCCATGATAAAACAATCTCAAGATGTTAAGATGGTGCTGAACAAAGTCTCAAAATTTAGAATGTTTGTAGCCTGGAACTGATTCACCAACCTTGATCTAGTCACATATTCATCTTCAGTGTCATGGCCTACTATTGAAACATCCCTGGGAAGAGGGAGACCAGCAGGGATTCTCAGTTAAGCTACAGCTTCTTTTTGTTTAGATCCTGATAATCAGTGTCTATTTACATAACTATTCACACAGTGAAACTGGGTAAGAGGATATTGTGGGTTCCCACATTCACATTTCAAGCACTATGAAGTAAACATATTGTGATATGTGAAATGATGATTATTAAATCAATATACATTATTTGTAGCAATTTTTTATTATTCTGTTAACATTTCTTACATCTGGTATGTATTTAATGTCTATTTTCTCTTCTTTTGGTGGTATTCATATGCATGTTTTAATTTTTTTCCGTCTTCTTTTATTTCTCAGCTACTTCCTTAATACCAGGCTGATCTCAATACTCTATTGTGGGCTTGAAGTACAATGATGTTCATGACAATAGTTCTAACGTAAATGGCTAACATAAATTCTTGTATAATTAATTTTTAAGGCATCATAAAATTAACATTTTAGTGCAGAAATGTATATAATTTGGAAACCATTGCTATATGTAAAAATCATAGGAAAATAGCATAAAATGCTCTTACATTTTTTTAACAC